CTCATTCTTACTGGCCTTGTGGGGATGGGTTAAATTGTTACACTTGATCGTGACTTGTATTGGTCTTGAGCCAGAATTCTACATTACTATTCCTATTCTCAGACATACCCTCAGCACAGAACTCTTGCGTATACATTAATACACTTGAAGAAAAATTCTTTTGAAGAAAGGACAGTGAGTATGGCCATTTTCACAATGTTGGTTCTTCCTATCCATGAATGAGGTTTGTCTTTCCATTTGCTGAAATATTCATTGATCTCTTTTTTTAGAGTATTGTAATTTTCACAGTATAGGTATTTTACTTCTTTTGTTAGATTAAATCCTAAGTATTTCATTTTTGGGGGTATTATTGTGAAAGGCATGGTTTCCCTGATTTCTCCCTCAGTGTGTTTGTGTACAGAAATGCTATCAATTTTTTAGCGTTGACTTTGTATCCTGCTACACTACTGAATTTGGTTATTAATTCTACGAGTTTTTTGTTGCAATTTGGTTATTAATTCTAGAAGTCTTTTGGTGGACTTTTTTCTCATTAACTTTATTGAAAATCAATAAGTATATAGCATATTAAAAATTGTAGACAAATATTGAAATGTGAAAGATATGAGATGTAGACAGTGAATTTCAGAGAAATATTTCTGAAATGAATACATAGCATGAAATTAATAGTAGATTGCACATTGTAAATAAGTTATTTACAAACTTAAATGAATATAACAATAAAAATTGTCCAGGATAAAAATGAAGAAGAAAGAATTTACAGATAAGTCATATAACAGTTTTCTCTGTGCCAAATTCAAGAATCTTATATTCATGTATTCGAATTCTCAAAGTAGAAGGGGGTAGGCAATAAATATTTAAAAATTTAAAATAGCTGATTTAGTTAAAATTATAATAAATAGGATCTCAAGTCCGCATCTTGTACAGCAATTAACCACTAAGAAGAATATATGCAGTGTATTATTTGTTGCAACTGTACTTCCGATTTGATTTGAAACTGTCTTATTGCTGTTTATCAGTAAAATTTTGAAAAAAAAATAAAATTATAGTACCACATTTTCAAGAAAAATGAAACTTTTTCACAAGAAATTTGGATAAAATTATACCAAGATACACAAAAATGAAATTGTCTAAAACTAATTGTACTGTTCATCAATAAACCTTTGAAAAAAATAAAAAAATAAAATAAAACTAATTCTAATGAAAAAAATCATTAAAGCATATACATCCTATGCATAAAAATATTAGCTATGAAAGAACAAAATTAAGTAGCATCTTATTTCACATTAGAAAAAAAAGAGCAAGTGTGTAAAAAAACTAGACTAATTAATTCAAAGGACTGAAATAAAAAAAAAAATCTGCCCTCATTTAATTGTGGAGTCTTCTATGTAGAATATCATGTCATCTGTGAATAATGATATTTTCACTTCTTCCTTTCTTATTTTGATTGCTCTCATTTCTTCTCTTGTCTAATTGCTCTGGCTAATGTTTCCAGAACTATATTGAAAGGAGTGGTGAAAGTGCATACCCTTGTCCTCCATAAATCAGACCCACATGAGTAAACATCATATTATCTCCCTAGTGTAAGAAACTGAAAGAGTAAGAAAAATCTAAAAGATACAATAGATAATGTGAAAGCAAAAAATAAATTTTCCAAAAGGAAAGAACAACTGGAATGTGGGAAAGCAGAAAAAAAAAAACAGAAAGAACAAAAGGAAAAAATACATATAAGATAGGTAAGATAAGATAATTGTGCTACTAACTTCTATTGGTCTATTGAAAGGAATGGTTAATGCTTAAATCATCTTGTTTTGAAATTCTGTATCATTTTTAATATATTTAAAAAATGTCTATAATCCTAAACATAAAAAAAACTTGAGAGAAGGACAGTGAGTTTGTATGTGACACAGGATAAGGAAAAATAGCACAATAACAGACATTTGATAATTTACTACAGTATGAACACAAACATCTTGCTATAAGAGCTAGTAAACACTTTTATATGATCAATTTCTTTTAAAAGCAATTAACCAACCATATAGGAAATACTATTTTTTTTATTAAAAGAGGGTTATTTTAAGATAGGTGAATATATTTCTTATAGTAATTTTATCTTAAGGAAAGATAATTTCCTAAGTAGTTCCACCCTATTCCAATATACAGATTCAGCAAAAGTTTTTCACCCAAGAAAACCCCTTAAAATCACATTTTTTTTTACTGTGAAAATCTTAAATCAGTTATCACATGATATTTTCATTGTGACTTATAATTGAAAATATCTTGGAATAATTACATAATATATTAGACTAACTGAAAGTAAATGGGTGTTCAAAGTATGAAAATTCTTCCTAACACCTCATTGTACCAGCTTCCTAAGGTACTGAACAGTTATATCTCTCTTTTTTCTCTAATATTTTTCTTTTTTTATTAAAAAAGAAAGAAAGAAAAACAACAAGAATGAAGACAAAAGCATAGCACCATAAAACAATAATCTAATATTTTTGTAACAATAGAAACAACTTAGGTCTGGGAAGATAGCTCAGTGGTTTAAGCACCTGCGTGGCAAGTGCAAGGACCCAGGTTTGATCCCTGGTCCACATTCTCTACTGGCCCTGCCAGCCACTGAAACTGGGCATGGTGGCACATCCTTGTAATTCCAGTGCTGGGGAGGCTGAGACAGGAGGGTTGCTATGAGTCTGAGCTGTGTAGCAAAGACCCTGTACCTAAATAAATCAATAAATACATAAATAAATATTTTTAAAGCAACTTAAAATGTTGGTCGCAATGATAACAGTACTTAGTACTATGAGACAGAGAACAGTGAATTGGGTAATTTACCTGAGCTGCCTCTTGCTGCTTTTTCAGCTGTTCAAGCATCTGCTGGAATTCGGCCTCTTTCTGCTCAGCCTCTTCCAGGGTGGCCTGATTCTGTTCCTCGTAGGCCATGGCCACCACAGCCAGGATCAAATTTATTAGATAGAATGAGCCCAGGAAAATGACCAGCACAAAGAATATCATGTAGGTTTTCCCAGCAGCACGTAAAGTCTGGAAGCAAAAAATATGACAATTATTTTTTTATGTCATTAACTGATAGCAGAACTGCACTATGAATGATCATCATATTGGTCACAAGTGCTCTTGATTCTTAGTTTTTTTTTGAGGTATTGGGGTTCGAACACAAGGCCACATGTTCTAGCTAAGTGTTGCATCTCACTTTCTTGTGTCGCTGGGATTACAGGTGCATGGTAGCACACACAGATCCTCCTACTTCTTCCACTGTGTCTTCAACCTTCACCTGGTCTTTCTTCTTTAACTTACACATTCCTACTCTGATCTCTAGGAGGGAGTCCTTGGATTTATCAAGAGTAAAATAAATGCAGTTATTTCTACATCCACTTCATTCATCACCTCCCACCCAAGAGATCATACTTGAGGAGGGAGTAGGCATTGCTGAGGTGGATATGCGTTTATTATATGGGAATCTGTTATGGTTTGTGTCTAGGTGTCCCCCCAAACCCTCATGCAGTCATTGGAGCAGCTTCTGGAGTTTGTGATTGATTACTGTGGGTGTGGATGCTGCACCTGCCCTGGGGCAGGTAATTTGCATTACAATGTAAGGAGGGAAGAGAAGCTAGCTGCTTGAGCTGCTGCTGCTCCTCCTTTTGTCTCTTGCTCTTTGCCGCCACCATGAAAGCTTGCTTTCTGCTATGTGCTACTCTGCCTTGGAGCCAGCTGAGTGTGGACTGAAACCTCCAGCAACAGTGAGTAAACAAAACTTTCCTTCTTTCAATTTGAGTGTTAGGTATTTGTCCCAGTAATGAGAGAAGAGTAACTAAGACAGAATCTGTGTTCAAAAAGAGTAAGAAATATGATCTGAGTAAGGAGAAAAGGGACAGATTACTTTGTATCACTCCACTTACTATGTATCATAATCAATGGGATAGAGGAGCTCAAGTATCTGGATTTCAGGCTGTATTCTACTGTAGTTTAGATTTTATGATTCAACTCATATTTTTATTTACTTCTACTTAAATGCAGTATGTATCTCTTCAGATTCTTACCAGTTGGTAAAGATTTTCCCAAAAGTCCTGAGTCATCAGTCGAAACAGGGATAAAAATGCCCAACTGAAGGTATCAAAGCTTGTGTAACCATAATTAGGGTTTCTACCAGCTTTTACACACATATATCCTTCGGGACACTGGCTATAAATAGGAAAAAAGAAAGATTTGTTTTGTTTTGTGTCTTTTTGAGACAGGGTTTCACTTTGTAGTTCAGGTTTCCCTTAAACTCATTTTGAAGCCCTGACTGGCCCTGAACACACAGTGATCTTCCTGCCTCAGCCTCTGCAGTTCTGGGATTGTAGGTATGTACCACCATGCTCAGCAAAAAGAAAAGAAAAAGAAGAGTAATGTAAGAAATTGTGCTGATATTTTATTCTGGTAGGTTCCTCCACATATTATCTAGCCCAATGATTTGCCATTTCAAAGGATACTAGTATAACTAATATGTTTGTAACTTTTAGGACTGGAGATGTAGTTCAGCAGCACAAATGTCAATGCAAGGTCCTGAGTTCAATTTCCTGCACTAGAAAAAAAATCTTAGTACAGAGGATACAGGATCTATAGGGTCTCACTACGTAGATCGGACTCATAGTGACCAGCCTGTTTTTTTAGCCTCCCAAGTGCTGGGATTACAGATGGTGCCACCAACTCAGTCTCAGTTGCCATTTTAGCACACCGCAGGGGTTAGGGCCAGCACTGCACACCAGGGATCGAACTCTGGCCGCTGTGCTCTGCCTAAGCAAGAGCTTTAGTCCGCTGAGTTATCAGGCTGGCCCTAAAAAAAAAAAAAACTTTTAACTTAGTATAATTTTTCTAGCCACTAGTTGTAATGATCAACGTATGGGACAGAATTGCTAACAACATTTTATGAAGCTTTTTCTCTTTATAATTAGCATTGAAACAGAATTCTCTTTCATTTTTCTTTCCTGTGGAGTCACAAAAGTAGATTCCTAGATCAATACGCTTGCTAGGGGAATCAGTATTATGACTAAGAGTACTACTTTTTCACAGCAAAAGCTTACCTAGTATTTAAAGGATATCACGGTTTTTAAATAACCTTAATAATAGCGAATTGATATGCACAAAGTTTGTTGAATGCTATCAGTTTCCACAAGAGAAAATATACATATATAATGCTTGCGTGCACATGTACGCGTTTGTGGCTTACCCCGCATCCGAGCTATTTCCACATAGCAGAGCATCTAAAAAACCCTCCAGGAAATAGTGATACCCTGTTTGGAAATAGAAAATCAGAGGAAGACGTTTGCACTGTTAAAAAGGCTAAATTGCTGACAGCAAGATCAAGTCCTACTTTGAGGATCACCGAGCGATTTTAACCATTTCATGTAATTTGTTCAAAGGCAAATATTTACCACTTTCCCTCCAAATACTAAGTATTGTATTAAGGCTATTAGCTATTAGTTATGCTAGGTGAGCATAACATTATCTCAGACTTTCTAGAAAACTTCTTACCTTCTTTCAACCTCCAGATAAACTATCACAACTTCTGAGAAATTTGCCTCAACCCCCTGCTTCCCTCCCACTAAACACTGGCAGAATTAAGACTCCAGTACTGTGTTTCCAGGGACACACATTCACTTACGGTGTTATTATTTTTTTTTAATTTTTTTAAACATTTATTTAGAGAGTGTGTGTGTGTGTGTGTGTGTGTGTGGCCAGCTCAGCCCACCAGGGGGCGGGGCTGGCAGGCATGTGGTGCTGGGGGATCGAACCGCCGTCCCTGTGCTTTGCCAAGCTTGTTCCAAGTAGGTGCTTTAGACCACTGAGCCATCTCTCCAGCCCCATCACTTATGGTATTATTATACTAATAATCCTATGTCATTATACTCATCATTCTGTTTTCAGTGTTATGACTACGATTTCTCTAAAAGTCACAATGGTTAATTTTTTTTTTTATGTCACTAGTATTTCATACATGGTAACTTTCCAGTAAAATTTATTGAATAGATAAGTAAACAGATGACAGACAGAGAATAAAATAATAATTGTTGGATTTTGTAAGAAGATTTATTTATTTTGAGATGGGGTCTTGTTGTGTAGTTAAGATCGGCCTGGACTCCTTCGGTAGCCCAGGTTGGCCTTGAGCTCACAGCTATCCTCCTGCCTCAGCCTCCCAAGTGGTGGAATTGCAACAAGAATAACTTTCAGATGCTAAATTATCATAGCAATAGTTCATGTATAATTCTGTAAGGATATAGAACCACATGAGGGAAAATGCCATTTAAATTTCCAAATATACTGACTTTTTGAATTAGAGATGAAACATTGATATTGCTTTTTAAAAAACTTTTAATTAGAATTAAAGTGAAAGAATTCTGCTACATTCTGGATGAAATTTTGATATCATATATTTATAAATAAAGTTTTGTCCTTTAATTTTATTGATCTAGAAACTTTAATCTGGAGAAAATATAATTTTAGTCATAGTGTTTACTGTAGTTACAATGCATTTAATTTTCTATTACTTTTTTCTTGGGGGCAAGGGTCTACAGAGTGTTCAGGGTCTCACTACTAGATGGGACTCATAGTGATCTGCCTGTTTACAGCCTCCCAAGTGCTGGGATTACAGGAATGCACCACCACACCCAGTATTAATTGTCATCTCAGCATGCTCTGGGGGTGGGGCCAGCACAGTAGGCCTGGGGATTGAACCCCCAGCCCCTGGGCCTGCTTACAGGTGCTTTAATCTGCTAAGTTATTTGGCTGGCCCTTCTATCACTTTTAAAACTAAATCATTTTACTTATAGAAGCATTTGTTTCAAAATAATCTTTTTTTCCCCCCAAAAGCTGGAATACTATTAAGACAAAAGATAATAACCATATTTTTAGAGCTGAAAATAATTTCAAGTATTCTTGCTTTCTTTTAATTTCAGTTTAAGAAAAATATAGTTCACTACCTTTTTACTAAGAGAGTAAACTCTAATTTATATTCTTACACTTAGTGTCTTGATTTCAGATAAATGTTAAACTAACAACAAATTTAGAAGTTTGGTTACTGCAGTGAATTTCTGGCCAACACACAAAGTGAGTAAGTCAAATTTGTGTTTTGCTCTTGTCGTATAAGGCATTTTTCTTAATCTGGGGTTTAAGAACTGTTTGTAAAGTACTGTTAACATACCACTGAATATTGTGGATAGCTAAACAAAGATTTTGTTGCAGATCTACAGCTATAAGGAAACATTGATTATATGTCTTTATTTTTTCTTTTCTAGGAAGCTATCTTTTCTTTAAGGCTTATAAAACACCTGTAATTTCTGTGACCAGTTCTACTTGTTCCATACAGCTATCACTGGATTTTGTTTTCCATTTTTTTTTCTCCAAATAATAAATATATATCTATATGTAAGCACATGTTGAGTTTAGATTTTATATATTTTTCTATATTAACTTACTTCCTTTTCTAATAATCATGCTCTATGAGTTTCTGTTTTTGAAATATGGACTACTAGATAATGAAATTAAAGAAAAGAGAAAATTGTGCTTACTTTTATTGGTACTTTAAAAAGAGTGTTATACCAATTACTTTTCTATCCTTCTAGAATAGATTATTTTAGCATTCAACTATTTTGTCTAAATGCTTGAAACAAAGATAAACCAATTCTCATAATTTCTCTTATTTGACATTTTCTTATTCTCTATTATTTTTCTGATATTTAAGTGAATGTAATTTTCTTTCTCTTTGATGTAGTATTAATTCTCAAAAAGAACGTTTAGCCTTAGATCCTATGTGATTTCCATAAACCATCAGAATATTTTATTAAACAGTTAGTACCCACAAACCATTATTTTCTCCAGTGCCCTGGTGATTTCTGGCATTCTGTTGTTAAAATTTAACAGGGTACACTGCATAGCACATTCGAATTTACAGAGGGTGCTCACATACTTGTGATCCCTCAGTTGTCCCTACTACCACAGGAAGAGCGTACGGTGAGGAAGAGCCTGGGAAATTCCCTTTTCCTGAGTTCTTCTGCCTCTCACATGATGGCGCAGTGTAAAGAGGTGTTTGGGTGTCACATTAAGAGCTGTTGCCATTTAAAAAATTGAAATATGTGCAAACCATTAATCAGTGATTAATACTTATTCTTTAAAATTTGTTAAAATTTCTTACAGAAATAGAAATGACCTTATTTAAAATCCATGGAAGAGGCTACAGAATGGAGTTAAGTGGTCAAACTCCTTTAGCAAAGGGCATAGAAAAAAGACAAGCTAAATAAATCAAATTTATGGGGGCCAGGGAGATGGCTCAGTAGAATAAATGCTTCCCCGGCAAGTGCAAGGATCTGAGTTCAATCCCTGGTTCTGCCCCCCAAAGAAAAACAAAAAAGAAAAAAGGAAAAGATTAAACGAGACATTGCAAGTAATATAAAACATTAAAAAATCATGAAAATAAATCAAATTTAGGGCAAAGAAATATTAAATATAAGTGGGGTTTTTAATATTTTTTCTGTATTTAGGATAGGGTCTACAGGGTGTACAGGGTCTCACTATATAGATGGGACTCGTAGTGATCCTCCTGCTTTCAGCCTCCCGAGGGCTGGGATTACAGGCATGCTCCACCACGCCCGGTCTCACTTGCTGTCTCAGTGCGCCCTGGCGGCAGGGCCGGCAAGGCGAGCTAGGGATCGAACCCTGGCCACTGCGCTCTTCCTAAGCAGGTGCTTTAGTTCACTCAGCTATCTATCAGGCAGGCCCTGATTTTAAATAATTTGATTGGACAATTTTTAAAGAGACAACAATCTCTTCATTATGCTCTCATTTTTAGTTTGTCTACACCTACATGAAAGGCAAGTGAACAATGAAAAAAGCTCCAATACATATAACACAAAGTCTTACTTGAATCTTGAATATATGATTTCCAGTCAAACTCATACACAGTCTCATTTACAAGTGTGCCATTGTAATCCATGGTAACATTCTTCTCTATGCTGTGTTCCTCCAGGGAAGCATTGGTAGGAGGCCATTGCACACATTTATTCCGCAGGTTGCCCATGAAGAGCTGCAGGCCTATGAGTGCAAACACACTCAGACAGAACACGGTCAGGATCATGACATCGGACAGCTTCTTCACCGACTGGATCAGCGCCCCCACGATGGTCTTCAGGCCTGGAAGAAGAGGCCTGATGCTATGAAGAGGTCATGCATCTGGGATCGGAAATGCTTCGTACACATCTCTTAAAAGTGGAATCCATGCATAAGTCTCAAAATGTCATGTTGGTGGAGGGTAACTCTCAGTGGAGGGCTGAAGAGCTCATGAGCATGAACTCTGAAAGTTTAATGATCCCAGAAATACAATAATGCAGTGTAGCTCCCGCCACATTATAATGGGAGGAAATAATTGAAGTTCATGGTTCTTGAGAAATCTGTATTAAGGAGAGGGCCTCAGATTTTTCCTCTTTGGCTAGTGAGGATTAGCCACACTTTCTCTAGGATTGTCAATTTTATAACAAGTTACCTGAATAAATGTTTCATTTCCTACCAATAAACAGGAAAAATTTTGCTATAAAACTGGGGGTAGATTAAAGTTCATTTTAAAATAAATCCTCCATGTAGACCCATGCAAGTATTTATTATATTATACCTTGTTTTTTATGCAAAAAGCTTAGAATATTTGTTGTCTATGCATATGCTCCAATGACTGTAATGAATATGAAATCAGACCTTGCCCTTGCCAGGCAGGTGCTTATGTCACTGAGCTATGTCCCCAGCCCGCGACTCTAACTTTCAACAGGAAACAAATTATTTTAAACAGGCTGAATCTGTAAAAGCACAAAGGGTCACTCTAAGTTTTTAACTTAGCTCTCACCTGGAATGACTGAGATCGTTTTCAAAGCTCGGAGAACTCTGAATGTTCTCAACGCTGAGACATTGCCCAGGTCCACAAACTCTGTCACATATCTGTAGTAGGGAGTTCACACACAAACACAATAACAAAATACAAATGAACAGTTGTAGGTGCCTGTGCTTCACACTCTTTCTTCCCCTGAGTTGTGTAAGTAGTTTTCCAAGTTCTTGAGAATGTGAGATTGCAAAGAACTTAAAAAGAGCTTCGTTTACACATTCTTTGATATACCTGTCCAGTTAAACTCAGTTACTCAAGATTTGAGCAGAATTTATGTTGTTTGGTTCTTTTAAAGACTTTCCTGGCTAGGGCTGGGGAGATGACTCAGTAGGATAAGCGCTTGACTGGCAAACGTGAGGATCTGAGTTCAATCCCCGGTTCAGTGAAAAAAAAAAAAAAAGAAAAAAAAAGAAAAAAAGACTTTCCTGGTGATTTTAAGTGATCAATATTTGAAGTGGCAAGTTAGGAATTAGAATATATTGCTTGTAGCTTTATTTTCATAGTTTAAGGTCATTAGCTAACCATAAACTACAAAGTGTACATCCTTGCTGCCATTTTGGAAATCAGTGTAATCAACGTTATGTGTAATATAGAATTAAGTAAAAAGAAAATATTGTTTATGGATTCAGGATTTCAGTTAGGAAAAAATGAATTTACCTGAGATATTTAGGCATGAAAAAAACAGGTCATCTTATTGCCTTTTTGTACAAAATATGCTCTTTCTAGTGTAACTTTTAAATAAAATTAGGCAAATTAAAAACAATATTTTATGTTATCCAAAGCTGTCCCTGCCATTATTGTTATTTTATTCTGAAGAAAGAAAATCTCCAATTGAATTTTTTTTTTTTTTTTTTTTTTGTATTTTAGGACAGGGTCTATAGGGTCTATAGGGTCTCATTGTGCAATGATCCTCCTGTTTACAGCCTCCCAAGTGCTGGGATTATAGGTGCACACCACCATGCCCAGTCTCAATCGCTGTCTCAGCACACCCTGGGGGCAGGGCTGGCACAGCAGCCCTAGGTGTTGAACTCCCGGCCCCGTGTCTGCCTAAGCAGGCACTTTAATCTGCTGAGCTATTTGGGTGGCCCTTCCCAGTTGAATTCTTTTAAAATGTGACCAGATGGAATGGGGAAAAATTGGCTCATCAGGATCAGGTCTGAAATACCACACTGCTTGCCCAGGAAGGCAGGCTCCCATGGGAAGGTGGAAGGTTAGGGGTGCTGGCTCACATAGTCCCCCACATTTTGCAATCACCTATTCCTAAAGGATTTCTCATTGTTTTTTTCCAGTTCTTTTTCTGGGGAAGTTTACCACTAAAAAGTAAAAAGAGACACAGGAATTTTGCATATTACTGAATACACATGGAGAGCAAAAAGCACATCAACATCAGATACAGTTCATGTTGAGTGTAAAAGAAGAGATGAAAGAGATCATAAATAGAAAGAGGAGAGGAAGAAAGGGCTCAGGTGAGAAATGAAACAGAAGCAGAGAGAATTTATGTGTTTATGAGCCTGTATGATCAGTCTGTTGGTAGAATCATAATTTGTCAAATTAATGTAATAGAATAAGTCCTTGCCTGGCAAGCACAAGGTCCCAAGTTTGATTTCTGGTCCAGAAAAAAAAAAAGACATGCAAATTGATCTAATACACCAGATGCCTTCATGTTTCTTGTTAGTTTGAGGTTTAGAGAATTATGCTGCTAGTAGAAATTTATGTTTTTGTAATTCTATCAAAGTAATAAAAAAAAAAGCTGTTCATGAGCATGCATGCAGAGGTAAGGTCAGTACAAATTTGCGGAAACAGTAGAATTGTTTGTGCCTGTAACCTATAAGACCATTTTTGTGGATATAGTAAAAATATATGCACTTTTTTTGGGTACCAGAAATCGAGCTCAGGACCTCTGCTTGCCAGGCTGGCACTGTGCCACTGAGCTATATCCCTGGTCCTTACATGCACATTTTTATGGTAAGTGAGTGAGTGAGTGTGTGTGTGTGTGTGTGTGTGTGTGTGTGTGTGTGAAATATAAAATTTGCTTGTGTTTGTTACAAGTGAAAATTGTTTCGAGTACCACAAAGACTTCACGCCCTGATGAAGATGTAGTGCCATCTGTTACATCAATTAAAATGGAGCCTAAGTGTTACAAATTATTCCCAAATATTCTTAGGTAAAGCAAGCCCATTCTTAAAAAAACTAAATACTAATAGAAAACCGAGTTACAGTCCTTTTTGAAGTCTCAAAAGCACTCACGCGAAGGTAATGACAGTGAAGTCAAGCCAGTTCCATGGATCTCGAAGGAAAGTAAAATCTTCTAAACAGAAGCCTCTGGCAATAATTTTTATGAGCGATTCAAAAGTATATATCCCTGTGAAGGTGTACCTAGAAATAAGTATTAAAATTGATAAAGTAATATTTTTCTTTCAAAACATGACAGTTTCTTATCCCTCAGTCAGTAGAAGTGATGAAAACTAAATTATGGCAACAAAATAGGTTGGTTTTATTTTTAGAGAACTAAAGCATAGTTTTAAGTTTAAGTTTAACTTCCTAATACTAAGAGCTTTAAAAGAATGTGATAAACGTGTTCCATATAAAGTTGGTCTAGCTATGGTCTGAATTGTCGTGGTATTGACAGAAATGAATAGAGCCTCCTGAGAATTAGCCAGTGGAATACCCCATCACTAGTATTGTGGAACCACAGAATGATTTTCCTTTAGAAGGCAAAAATTTCTTAATTTTAATGATTTTTTAAGAATGAGAAGACATTGACAAGTTAGCAATTTTTACATTTTTAGGTAATATACTCAGCAAAGGAGTTTGCTAGAATCCAAGCAGATAATTTTGAATTCTAAGTGGTGAAAATCTAAGTCTGAGCACAATGTTGCACTAACTCAGAAATTTTCTATTTAGAGTTTGGAATTGGTGGGTGGTATAAAATTACAGATGGTAGAGTAACTGAAGACCTTGAGGTCCAGCTATCAACATCAATGTTTTAGGAATTCTTTGCATACAAAGGTGTGTTATTTCTTATAAATTTGTCTGTTTTTTATGGGTACCATCCTGGGAGTGTCAAGGGCAGGGGTCTTGGCAGCAGCTCTGAGGCAGTCAGGGTGATCAGCTGGGAACTACAGCACAGTTGTGGGACCAGGGGTGGAGCTTGACTGTAGAAGCCACCACTACAGGGTCTTCCAACCTGTCCTCTTTACCCTGAAGGGAGCCCTCAGGTTCTACAATCTTGAATTTTTTTTAAGCCAAAGTTTTGGGGACCACACTTGAAACTGGTCCTGACAGGAAGCGAGTGTGCTTGAAGGAAAGAGAGCTTTGTGAGAGTTAGCATTGTCCTCTCGTGGCATCTGTAGCTTTCTCTCCTCGACTCTTCACTTACTGAATTAGTTGCGAATTTGAGCATAAGAATCTGTGGGTCTTTTCTGAAATTGTTTTTACTTCATTTCCAGGGACAGTGATATCCTAACAGAGCAGTGGTGAGAGTCCGAGCATAATGAATTTCTGGTGACTGTCAGGTATTAAAGCAGATCTAACACCAGCAGACCTAAAGGACTGTGCAGGGCAATTCTTTCTGCACAATGTGTTTACAAACGGCCTTAAGGTAAATGTTTTTCAGTTTTATTTCAAGGATACATAAAGGCATAACTTTAAAATACTAAGTATACATATTATTTTAATTATTTAAAATATGAATTGAACTTACTCTACATTCTTTGTCCAGTCAGGAGGGTTACTCATTGTCATAAACACACAGTTGGTCAAAATAGTGCACATAATTAGCATGCTGAATAATGTAGGTTATTGTTAAGGAACATACAAAAGAAAATCCAAATTCAGTTATTATATTGTGTAAAACTAACATTGAAAAGCCGGAAATGGGGCTCAGTTAAGACTCAGTGACAAATATACTGTGGATGAATCATCTAAATACTTTGAATTTTAGTTTCTTCATATGTAAGGCATAAATAATAGTATCTTCACAGAGTAATTGCTTAGAGAGATGGCATTATGCACTATAAGGTGTTGCTTCTGCAACTTTTATTTCTTGAGACCGTGTCTCATTGTGCAGCCCAGCGTGGCCTGGAATTTACCACCCTTCTGCCTCAGTCTCCCAAATGCTTGGATTAGAGGTGTGTGCATTCATACCTGGCTGACTTCTGCAACTTTGACAGTCTGTATAAATATATCTTAGAGAACTTTCATTGAGAGGAGTATTTATGCATCTGGACTTGCACAGTTTCTAAGCAGAAAACAGCATGTTGAACCAATTCAGACAAGCAGAATAGCCAATTAGGAGGGAAGACACATCCTGGCAATAAGGAATTTTTTCAACACATGTTATGCCATATAGATCAGTGTATGAAAACAATTTATAATCAAAGGTCAGCATGTTGCTAGGTGTTGGGTTATTCTACTTCAACTGAATTTATGCAAGGGAATCAGAACTTCACAAAATGAAAAGTCAATTTTCTTGATAAGACATCATGATGTCAGTGTTGACTTCACTTTGAGACCATCATCTGAAGTGAAATCAGACACATAAACTTAAGTACCAATAGTTCTTCTTCTATGAGAGCTCAGAAGTGTAAGTAAGAAACAAAATAAGGGACAGACAATGAGAAACAGGAAGATAGATCTTTTACAAAAGGGAAAGGGCCAAGAGATCAAGGGAGAGGGGACGAGAATCAGGGACAGGGAATGAGGAAGAATTTCATGGGGAACATGACCATTACGGACCAGAAATGTGGACATAGAAAATAAAACTGAAAGCTAAGAAAATGACTGGATGGTGTGACTGTAATGAAATTTCAACATAGTGAGAGATCTCCAGCAGGAGACCTCGTCCTCTCTGCACCACTGATCCGCTGCCTGCGGATCCACTTACTGTATACAGTTTTTAGAAATCAGACAACAAGGCCTCAGTTCTAGAGAAATTAGATAACTTGGCATAGAACTATAGAACACAGGTTTTCTGCTTTCAGTTCCAATCGTATCCTTTCCTCTACTGAGTACTTGCCCAAACAAAAATTTTCCATAAGTGAAAAAGAAAATTTTCATCAAATGACCACATGATGGCACTACAAATACAAAGACAGGAAAATATCTTAAGTGTCAAAACCTTGAACTCTTTTGCTATCATCTTAAAAATAGAATGGTCTTTTCGTTTTGGTGGTTTTTGGTCTTGTGGACTTTTTCTTTCTGTTTTATTTATTCATTTTTTTGGCAATGCTGGCTGCCCACCGCGGGCTCTTGCTCTCACAAGTGCGCTACCATGGACCTGTGCCTCCGGCCCAGACTTCACGATTTTAGAATCAATTAAAAAAGAAAACCAGGGATACAAGCTTGGACAATTGGGATAGATTTTCTACATTTATTAGTGGCCACATAGTCAGAAAAGTTTTACACTGATAAAGTTAATAGGGGAAGATAGTTGTAGAAACCTTTGAACACCAATGGGAATCACAAAGCCGAGTCTCCTAAGACCATTCGGAAATATAATCTTAGCTTCTTTCATGAACTTCCAGAGTCTTTACTAGACAATCAGTTCTTCATTATAGAGTCATAATTCAGTGACTTAAATCTGAATTTCAGCCAGGATTCCAGGGCATCGTATGCAAAAACCATCAGCAAAGTTCAAGGAGTAGCTATGTATAGATTTTCCGGAGTCTCTGAATATGCTTTGTAGAAAATATACCTACCAGTTTATTCTAAGGTACACTAAGATGTTCCACATCATAGCTAAGGTTAATTCTGATTCAGGAAGTAGATTTGTTTATCATATCATTATTCATTGAAAATTCTACACATCTTTGTATGCAGACAGTGAAGATAAACATGGCTATCTTGTCATTTTGTAGCATTTAGTATATACAAGTAATATTTTGAAATAAAACAACCATATATACATATATATATATAATGTTAAAGACTTTCTAAATTTAAGTGATTCCTTTGTGTTTAATCAACTTTAGGAATAAGGTTTCTATAACAAATGAAGATACAAAATCTGAGTGATGAAATGTATAGAACATGGATATTTCCCAATTTACCTTTATATTTAGCTACAAAATATTATCAATTATGTATAAATAATTAATATTAATAACTTGAAAAAGGATATGAATGTACCAAAATCTTAATTGCTATTTTCCTAAGAGGATTGAAGGGAGTTAAAATGTACAGGGCGGAGGTGGCACTGAACCGGAAGATGGCCTTCCCTTTATTCAATACTATAAAAGTCTGTAAGACAGGAACACAACAAAGAAGTGTAAAAGCATAAACCACTTAAATGTCATCATCTTCAATAATGAATCATTTCAGTGTTGTACGAGACATCATGGAAATCACCACTTTTCTATGTGCACCAGGAACACAGACTGTACGTCCCTGGATCTCTTCTTAGCTAGGGAAGAAATCTAATATTAACACTTACCTGTTTTACTTGATACTTACTTGCAGTTTTGTTGTACTTAGGCCACTTAGTCAGAGGAATTCTTCTTTCCTTATTATTTTACATGTCTGTGTTAAATGAAAGTTGAGGTGTGTGCACATTTCATTTCTGTTTAGAGTGTTAAGATACTGTCACTTTAATAATAATTTCAGCTTTCCCATTATAAATATCTTGAAAATTAATACTGAGGACTACAGCCATTAAATAAAACTGATAAACATTTTTGAAGAGAATAGTTCTTTACATTTCTGCTTATAAAATACTAATTTTATTTTATTTATGCGGAACCAGGGGTAGAACTCAGGACGTTATGCTTGCTAGGCAGGCGCTTATGCTGCTGAGCTATATCCCCAGCCTTGTGCTTATAAAATAAACATTGTAGCTCCAAGGCTAACAGAAAATAAAAGCATTCACCATCCAACTCACTCTTGCATTGGATGAGTATAACCCAGTAATTGATTTCTAGAGGCCAAGCTCCCTGGAGAGTATCTGCTGACCAGAAGTGCTAAATTCTGTATTGGAATTCCCAAGTTAGCTGACATATTGAATTCTAATTCCAATTCACTGTCTGTTTCTTTCCTTTCTTTCTTTCTTTCTTTCTTTCTTTCTTTCTTTCTTTCTTTTTTTTTTAATTTTAGGGAAGGATCTACAGGGTGTTCAGGGTCTCACTACTAGATCGAACTTGTAGTGATCTGCCTGTTTTACAGCCTTCCAAGAGCTGGAATTACAGAAGCACATCACTACGCCCAGTCTCAATTGTTATCTCAGTGCGCCCAGGGGACAGGGCCAGCGTGGCAGGACCAGGGATCGAACCCCTAGCCCCTGTGCTTGCTTGCAGATACTTTAATCTGCTGAGCTATTTGGCCAGCCTCACTGTCTGTTTCTTATAGCACTTTCTTTGGTCAGAGGAAAAAAACTCAGAGCTTTGGAAGAACCTGGGGATCCAAGAATTCCATCCAGAAAAAATTAGACTTTTTGGTAACAACTGGTAGTGTGCAGACAAGAGATTTTAGAAGCAGCATGCATTAGTGCATAAAAGATTCTGATCCATTCTATTGTGCTCGGAAAGAGCCAGACGTGGCCACAGCTGCTTTCCTCGTGGAGAACATGCAAAGCAAAGATAATTTCAAGCTTTTTAATTTTACTTCTCTTTTAGCAGTGCCGGGGATTGAATGCTAGACCTTCCTTACACAACCACAGCACTGCTGATCTAGGAGCCTAGCACAGCTTTTTTGAATCAGTGCAGTAGCTTTGTTTTTAGACTTTGGAGGTTTATTTGCATGGAGCTCATTATGACAAAGAAAGCCACAACTTTAAATTTACTTTCTATTAATAGCCCCAGAAAATGCTTTGCTTTCTACTGATAAGCTTCAGGTTATTGACACATTTCTCATTCCTTTCCCTCTCTACCATCAAGTTTTCAGATAATTATTTCAAATATTACTCGAGTTGTGGTTTGAAAATAGCACTCACTTTCTTGGGTGAATAGAAGTGAAATCTACTCTGAAAATAGGGATCACAAGATAAACACAAATATTGAGAAGACATTTGGATTTAGAAACTTGCAAACAATTTGACAAACTAACTGCATGTCCATTGAATCTTTTAACAAAATGTGGGAGGCAGCACTTTGTGTGTCAGAATTCCATTAAATGTTTTAGAAATCAATTTTTCTAGACTTTGAATAGATGGAATGGAGCTAGAGAAGCTTGCCTTTAAGCTTATCCTTTGTATTCTTGCTATCAAGTTTGAAAGACTCACTCCAGATCATAAAGAAAATTGTAACATGAAGTCAATTTACAGGAAGTTTGCGTCTGCGCTTTCTGAGGAAAAACTAACTGCTGACGATATTTAGTTAGTCTTTTTTTAAAAAAACTGATTCATCCAGTGCTCTGTCCCTAAATGACATTGTGAAATCATCATAAAACATGTACAGAGTTCTGTCGTACAGATGCCTTTGCCCTAGGGAATAGGAGCGTGCAAGGACACAGAAGGGCAAACGCGAGTTAACTCAGGACTACATATGGTCCACCATTCAGAACTCCTGCACACGGCTTCACTCTCTTAAAATATGCATGAAAACATGAAAGCTATAGTTAGAGAACTAGTAAAAAAATAACGTGGAAAGTATACGCAAACAGAATCTCCCTAGGTGTGGCGGAGCAATATATAATTCCAGTATTATGGAGAGCCAAGGTTAGTAGACATATTGTAAGCAGTCAGATTTCCTCCTCCTTCCTCCTCCTTCCTCCTCCTCCCTCCTTTTTTTTTTTTTTTTTGAACCAGGGATTGAACTCAGGCCCTCATGCTTGCCAGGGAAGGGCTTATTCCACTGAACCATCACCCCGGTCCCTGGTTGATCTCTTCTTCAAAAGGTCCTTATTCATTCTATGTACAGTTGCTATATGACCTGCTTCCCCACTGGATCGATATTATCTAAGCAGCCAAACTTGTCATCCTATTGATTGATCATAGTTTTGTACCACATTGTACCCATCTTGATCAGAAAATTTGGGACACTACCGAGGTACAAGACGTTACAGTACAAGTTCTCATATGTCCTGAGTCTTAATTGACCTTAGAAGGCTAGGGCCAAAATGTTGGCTTTCCTTGTAGCCCTCCTTTTTC